CCATTGAATGGATACGTCATACGTATGAGTAGGAAAAGATGTACACTTTAATTCTGTGACAAGTGTTTTAGAGCAGAATTTTAACATATACTTATGATTCGTTGTCTTGTGTTTATACGCATTACCAATGACCAAGAAATTTTTGATCGAGTAAACTCCACCATATTTAAATCTGTTGGCATACTTTTCAACGTAATGTTTGGGGATATGTGCACAAACAAAAGTGCCTTGGTTTTCAAGTGCAAAAAACATGTCTTAACAAACATTATGTAATCACAAATTGTATAACAAATTACAAGCATACAATTAAATTAAATACCTTCTGATCATGGAAGATGCACTGTAAAGAGTCACTGTTTGCATACTTCTTGTATCCGGACCGTCTTACTTCCGTACAAATCTGATGTCTATTGCATTGTTTCTGTTCCTAGGCGAAATATCAGGGCTGAGAATGTTGATTGAAGCCCTACGTATTGCAAACAATATGAGATGTATGTTAAATAATCCTTTATGCGCTATAACTTAAATGCGGAAGCACAATTAACAATGATCGCATGTAAATCAAATCAATCAACTAAATAATGTTCATGATCATGGACTTTTAATTAAATGGAAAAGATAGAACTTACTTGGCTCCATTGAAGAAGTAATCTCTAAATTGAATGAATCAAGAATATAATGATTCACCTCTCTGATCCGTATTCCTTAATCACCTCCTGATGATACGGAGACTAGAAAACTTAGAGATTTGAAACTGTTCAGATCCCTAGAGTTTTCCTGGGTATTTATAGATAGGAATAGAAATCCCTTTAGGAATGTGACCTCCTTTAGGAATAGAAATCCCTTTAGGATTGTGAGACCGATAACCTTATCCATTATACATCTTTTAACCCTTATAAACTTAAATTTTAACAGAATGAGAGGGAGGGAATTTCACCCAGTAATTCCGCCTTTACACATCACTAATCATCAACGTGAGTACCTTATGAAATTACAACCTTTATTATATAAATCATTCTTATGAAATAATTATTTCTAACAATGTATACGACGATATGTGAAGTGTTTTACCTTCAAATGTTTAAAACCTAGAAGCAGTTGAAAGGAACACGTTTACTCTAATGAAGTCTATATATAGGACTGTACTGCGGCCTATATGCTTCACTGCTTCAGACAGTCGCCGGCCACAAAGAACAACGTAACTGTACACGCAATCAGAATCTTCGGACCCGCACGGGCTTAGCTCAATGGTTTAGTGGGCAGTATTTGAGATAATAGACAAAGGTTTAAACCTCGGCTGCGGCAGTTCCTTGGCTCTGTCTACTAACTCATTGAGTCAGTGTGATTTACATGTATCCTCCCACATGCTCTGTCGAGTCGGAGTGTTGGGACCTTAAGGTTGGGGATTCAGCTTCTTGGGGTAAGAAATGGAAGGTAAGCCTCCAACTTTTTTTTTTTTTTTTTTTAAAGTGTGTCATTTTTTATTTTTTTGAAATAAATACGCAGAAATTTTTGGTTCAATCTAATAAGTACTTCTAATAAGTTAAATGAGGTACAAATTTTATGCAAGTAATTAAAACTCATATTTTGCAAACTTATATTTTTCAAAAAGATCTACAAATTAGACAACACGTCAACATTGGGGTTTTCATTCACCGCATTTTTGCGCATTTTTTATTTTTGCAAACACATTATATCTGTAACATGTTTGATTTGTTGTACCCCACAAAATATATCTGAGCTGTATATTACTCATATACAATCTTTACAAATACATGCACAACTGTTTCTTATAAAAGCATTACATTATTTAAATAAGGAATCCTTCTCAATTTTCGCCTCCTTTTGTATTTTTTTTCCTTGCATGTTTTCACAATTATTGTCCACAACAATACACCATATTTCACCTATAGGCATTTTACAATTATATTTTCACTTAGACTTGGCAATTATAGACACGACACGTTAACACGACATGAAACCGGATACGGAAATAACGGGTTAGTGTTTAGCCTTAATGTGTCCCGGGTCATTAACGGGTAAACCCGTTAAACCTATTAAGAACCCGTTTAACCCGTTAATATTACCATGTTAACCCGTTAACACGAACCTGTTTACCAAACCTGTTTATAACCCGCTAAGAATCATTGTCATTTAGGTAAGAACCATTGTCATTATTGAGATTACAAAACATATTATGAACATAACTAATGATGAATTTACTACATTAGGCCAAGATCCTACACCAAATAATTGATGTTCAAACAATTTGAAATTTGAATTTTTATTGTGTTCAATTTTATACTAAAAACTTGTATAGACTCCTTTAATTATGATATTTGGATGTTGTTTTATCTTTTTATGAATGTTATGAATGGAATATTTTTAGTTTGTTTGATGAATTGAACGGTAGTTTTTATTTTTTATTTTTTTTTATAGAACTTAACTTTAAATTTTAGTTTTTTAAATATATTAATAGAAATAGCGGGTTCAAACGGGTTTCGTGTCATATCGTGTCGACACGACTTGAAATCTGTTAACAAAACGTGTCTATCGTGTCAACCCGTTTAACCTGTTAACAAATCATGTTCGTGTTCGTGTTAAAATTTTAAACCCGTTAACCATAACGTGTCGTGTCCGTGTTTAGCCTTATCGTGTTCGTGTGTAATCGTGTCGACCCGTTAACGGACCCGTATACACGAATTGCCAGGTCTATTTTCACTACATATCGCCGAATTATACATTCAAATGTCCACGTTATATATATATATATATATATATATATATATATATATATATATATATATATATATATATATATATATATATATATATTGTTCAAATATGGCCGCGCACTTCCGTGCGGTACAGTGTTAACAAAAGGCACCAATACTGTTAGGAAAAAGCACAACAAGAAATGCACAAACACACCAAAAACACAAAACATACAACACACCCAAAAAATGCACCATAACTCCCACAACCTAATTGTGTATTTTCGAACACTGTGTGGTGCTTTTATTCATACCTAATGGTGCGTTTTTTGTGATGCGTACCTAATTTGTACATGTTTTTTTGTGCATTTCCTAACATGGATGGTGTATATTTGTATAACTATTTGGCCGGGAAAGTTGTATAGCAGAAAATGAAAGGCATGCCATGCATCTTCACCAAGGGTGTTTAATTAATTAATTATTTATTTATTTAAGTCATTAGTTTGTGAGATGGAAAAGATAATATTATACATATTAAAATGGGGAGTAAAATTTTTCGGGAAAAAATTAATCGAAAAATGCACCGAAAAAACCAAATTTGCTAATAAAGTAGTTATAGTCGTGAACTAATTCTACAAGTTTTAAAAGTCGTGGATAAAAATCATTAGTGATATTATAGTCGTGGAACTAAAAGTGCAAAAAATTCTTTGGAGAGAGAAGATAGAAACATATCTTCCTTCTCCACCATATCATCACTTCTCCCTCCAAGCTCACATTGGAAGCAATCGATAATTAAAGCTAACACCGTTGCCCGAATAGTTGAGGTACGTACATACTCCATGCAGCATGTTAATAATTTTTTACAAATAATAATAATAATAATTATTATTATTATTATTAGTACTGTAGTTTAGTAGTAGTAATTATTATTATTACACTAATAATAAAAATTAGTGTTTATTAGCAGAACGGAATTTGGTTGCATTATTATTATTCTTCCAATAATCTTAAAGACGCCCCACATCCCGACCCGACAGAGCATTTGGGAGGATGGGAGGACTGCAGCCTCCCCCACTTTGAGAGGTTGCTCCCACACTACCGCTGGTGAGACTTGATCCCTGGTCATTCGTCCAAAGTTTCACCTCTATGACCAGTTGAGCTACCTATGTAGGCTATTATTATTATTATTATTATTATTATTATTATTATTATTATTATTGTTATTGTTATTGTTATTGTTATTATTATTGGTGGTAGTAGTAGTACTACAAGTAGTAGTACTGTAGTTTACCTTAAAAAAAAAAAAAAAAAAAAAGTAGTACTGTAGTTTAGTAGTAGTTGCTTTTATTATTATTTATTTTATTTTATTACGTGTATGCATGGTAGTGTTATTAATATTTTTTAATATTATTTTATGTATTGTTGTTGTTGTTGTTGTTGTTGTTGTTATTATTATTATTATTATTATTATTATTATTATTATTATTATTATGAGTACTGTAGTTAGTAGTTACTATTATTATTATTATTATATTATTATTATTATACTATTATTATTAGTAGTAGTAGAACGTAGTAGTACTGTGGTTTAGTAGTTGTTGTTTTTATTATTATTTATTTTATTTTATTACGTGTATGCATGGTAGTGTTACTATTATTATTATTATTATTATTATTATTATTATTATTATTATTATTATTATTATTATTATTATTATGGGGGTGATTGAATTTTTTGTGCAAATTTAACAAGAAAGAGACAAAAATAAGTAAAAATAAAAAGATGGATAAAAATGTGTAAAGTACTAAGCTGATTACCCTCTTCTTATTAGGGCTTTCAAGAAGAAGGTAATCAGCTTACCTTCTTATACCAAAAAAAAAAAAAAATGACAAAGAGAGTCTTTTCTCTCCTCATTAAATGCGCAGGTAGGAGGAGAGAGAAGAAGGTATCCTATATACCTCATTCTCATCTTCTCCCAAAAGGTTGAATCCCCAACCTCAAGGCCCCACACTCCGACCCGACAGAGTATTGTGGGAACATACGGTATTTCAATGGTTCAACAGACATTGGTACGCACAATGGTCTCTTTTCCCAAATACTGTCCACTAAACCATTGTACTAAACTTGTGCGGGTTAGATATTTTCTTCTCATCTCCACATAGTGAGAGAGAGAAAAGAGGTTGTTCCAAGTACCTCTTCTCTCTTTATTTAATTTTTCCCAAATTTTACTCCCCTTCTTCTAGCATAAATACGGGAGGGAGAAGATGAAAAATGCACATCTCATTCTTTCACCATATCATTGCTTCTTCTTCGTAGCTAAATCAGAAGCAACCAAAAATTGCAGCTAGCACCATTGCTGAAATAATCGAGGTACATACATACTCTATGCAACTTTGTTTATAATTTTTTCGCAACTAATAATAATAATAATAATAATAATAATAATAATATTATTATTATTATTATTGTTGTTGTTATTATTATTATTATTAGTATCTAGTGTAGTGTATGGCATGTACTGGAATGTAGTGTAGTGTAGTGTAATTATTATTATTATTATTATTACTGTACTGTAGTAGTTATTATTATTATTATTATTATTATTTTTTTTTTTTGGAAAGGAATTATAGTAGTTATTATTATTAATTATTATTGTTGTTGTTGTTTGATGCATGTAGTACAAATATCAGTGTAATGTAGTGTTATTATTATTAGTATGCGTGTGCATGCATGGTAGTGTTATTATTACTTCTTTTTGAATGCTACTAGCTCTATTACATTGTAGTATCTGTTCATATACTTTCTCAACCTACTGAAACACAAAGAGTCAATAACGCCTCCACTGAGGCTCGAACTTACAACCTTCCAAATGGAAGTCCAACCCGGATACCATTAGACCACATAGTCCTGGTGTTATTATTACTTTATTTTATTATTATTATTTTTTTTGTTATTATTATTATTAGCAGCAGCAAAAGCGTAGTGTAGTAGTTATTATTAATTATTATTATTGTTGCTGTTGTTTGATGCATGTAGTACAAACAATTCACCCTGGACCTCTGATTGTAATATGAAATAATATATTATTATTTATTAACAGTTATGGATGCGAGACCATTGCGCTCTGGACCTGCTGATCCGTCTATGCTAGAATTTAAACCAAGGCATCGATGCACATATATTTGGGACGATCCAAACTATAATGCCAAACTTAGTGGATTTAGATATGACAGTAAAATGTATACTGATGAAGAACCTCGAGAGCCCCGAATGATTGCATATTTAAAGGGTTTTTGAAAAGAAGGTAATGACATTAGTACTTTAAGTATTTTAGTCTAGAGTTTTTAATCAACACATTTTTGTCCAAGTCATGTCAAAAGTACACATTCTTGACTATGTCTCTTATGGGCGGGGAGGGTGGGGGGGGTTGTGGGTAGGATACTGTAGTTTAGTAGTTGTTATTATTATTATTATTATTATTATTATTATTATTATTATTGTTATGAGTACTGTAGTCTAGTAGTAGTTGTTGTTATTATTATTATTATTGTTTATTATATTACTAGTTGTTTTACGCGCTTTGCGCGAATCAAATAATGCCCAATGATTATTTTTAAATAAGAATTTCAAAGTATATCAATGTAATATTATATCGGAGATGTTCATGCATAGGTAAATAAATATTGAATTTGTTTATTTGAATCAATAATTTAAAGTGTATAAATGCAAGATAATATATGAGAGATTGATTATATTATCACTAAAATAAATGTTTGCACCTTTGTAATAACGATAGTTTAAATACTTAGTCTAAAAATGATAGTCTAAATAAATATTATTTTTGTTTTAAATTTCTCTAATTCTTCTTAATTCTCTTTTGAGTAGCATTGTCATTGTCTTCATCTTCAGTACATGTCTTTTTTTTTTATTGGTAGTGTGTCATGTGCAATTGGGTTACTGGTGGTAGCATAGATGGATTTATCGTGCAATGAGATTATAGTGTAAGAGACTTTATATTTGCCTTGTTGTGTATATGATGGGATCTTAGTTGTACTATTAATTATTTATCTTACAAGCACCTATTGATATTTAATTTGGTAGTGAAAGTTTTTTCCCTACATGTTTCATGCGTTATGAGATGTGTGTCGTCGATTATCATGTGAAAGTATTGAATAAAATATTAATATTTATTATTTTGTATAAAATACTTGGTAAATACATATAGAACAAATTGCACTTTTGGTCCTGTGAGTATTAGGGTACTGACAATTTGAGTACGTGACTTTCAAAACTCCCAATTTAAACCTTTAACTATGCAATTTTTGACACTTTTGGTCCTCCGGGCCAATTTTGGCCGGAAAAACATCAATTGGTTCGAATTGTTTTTTGACGAGGGTAAAATTGTCATTTCACTCCCTTCTTCTTCTTCATTCTCCCTTTCTTCTTCGTTCTTCTTCTTCTTCGCTCAGCATAGGAGTCATTTGATAGCAGTCCAATCTAGATAGCAGGCCAAGCACTGTGCATCCTGATCCTGATGGTCATTCGATTCGGCCCCCACCTAGTGGTTTCCCTCCATTTGAGATGCTTCCTCATCCTGAGATTATGGAGCAGAAGCTTGCCACACAACATGCAGAGATGCAAAAACTTGCAAAAGAAAACCATAGGCTTGCTGCCACCCCTGCACCGAGTTTCGTCGCCGCTCCATCGCCGTATTCCGCAGCGGAGCCACCGACCCCAGTTCCCGCTCCTCTCGTTGCGACTCCATCGCCATCGCCTTCTTCCGCCGCAGAAGCTGAGTCGTCCCCTGGTCGCTTCTCCGGTGTCCAGTGCCGCCGCCGCTCCCTCGCCTTCAATCGCCATGCCTCCGCCGTCTCCGTCGTCCACTACCGCCACTGCTATCCTTAACTTCGTATGGTCTATAACGGTCGACATTATCGTAATCCACATTCAAACCTCCTATGCTAACTTATTAACATACTACCGTAATCCATATCACATCAATAATCAATAATCAATAATTAACAAACTCGGTGCAGGGGATTGAGCAAGAATGTGACTTTGAAGCATTTTCCTGAATCGCCACTTTCAAACCTCCACGCCAATGGAAACGCGCCGCCTCTCGCCGCCGGAAATCCCCCGGATCCTGTCCGTGTTTTTGGTGAGTGGAGATTGAGTAGCTGATGCCCAGTGCAAGGATGAAGAAGAAGAAGAACGAAGAAGAAGAAGAAAGAAGACGGGGCGAATGAAGAAGAAGAGTGTGAAATGACAATTTTACCCTCGTCAAAAAACAATTTGAACCAATTTATGTTTTTCCGGCCAAAATTGGCCCGCAATTTGGCCCGGAGGACCAAAAGTGCCAAAAATTGCATAGTTAAAGGTTTAAATTGGGAGTTTTGAAAGTCACGTACACAAATTGTCAGTACCCTAATACTCATAGGACCTAAAGTGCAATTTGTTCATACATATATATAACATATTTTGTATTATAACTTTGATATTTAATTACAAGAAAATGTAAAAAGAAGACAATGGATAATGTAGTGAATATAATAAATTAATAAATTTGAAGGTAATGAATCTTTAAATTCTAGAAAATAAAGATAATATAATTAATAAAATTATATCACTTTTTAATTTTTTTTATAATGAATAATTTTTTTAAATAAAGGAATTATAGACATCTAATTCTAAATTAATTAAATGCATATGTATTATTTTTTATTGTAGCTACTAATTTAATTTAATTTAATAAGAGTAATAAAGTAATGTACATACTTTTCATCAACAATAATGAAATCATTATTTTTTTTTAATTCACATTCGTTGTTGAGACAAATTGTTTTGAGAGTTTGTCAATGACAATTGTTATAATTCCTGTCAATAGAGGATGATAATAAATAATTCAAAATATATAGTTACAATATTGTTATAATGATATAGTAAAAATTAACTTACAAATTTCTTTAGAAGTTTTCATGCATTGATAAAATTTTGATGTGTAAACTTGTTCAATTGAAGCCAATGTGATGTCAACATTGTCAATTCTTTGGAAAATGGTCCTACCGTTTTATAGTCCGGGTGTAATTTTGTTTATGATCAACAACTTTGTAGTTAGGTCGCGTAGGTCTGACAATGATGTAAGAACAATTTTGTCCGACAAAAAAATAATAGTATAATATTTGTAAAGTAATGTGCAATCGTACCATTATAAAAATTCATACAAAAAAAATATTAATACCATAACAACCTAAATCATACCAATAATACAAAAGTATAATTGAAATATTAAGTTTTGTTCTGATCTAAATAATCAAAAGAAGATTAATTTAACGGAAAAAAAAAAACTTAACCTAAATTTGTTTTTTTTTTTAAATGCATAAAATCAAAGGATTTTTAAAGTTCTTGATTTATAATCTTTGATGCTTAACTTTGAATATTATGTATTTAATCGGACTAATTATTTGACCAAAGTTTATGTTAAATTTTATATTATATATTTTTAATACATTTTAATATATTCGTAGTATATGTTTAACAATTATGCCAAGTCTAATTGGGATGGAGTTCGAATCTAAGACCTTTCTTATAGAAATTAATGAGTAAGTTAAAAATAATAAATATATAGTTAACGGAATATTCCGTTACTAAAGTTTATATTAACGGAATTTAGGTTATTTAAGGGAAGAAAATAATATAATAGAGGGTAATTAAGAAAAATCATAATAATATGAACCATTCATATTGTAGATGTAGATCTAGATTGTAGATTATTGTGAGTACTGTAGTTTAGTAGTAGTTGTTTTTATTACTATTTTATTTTATTTTAGTACGTGTATTCGTGGTAGTGTTATTAGTTTAGTAGTAGTAGTTGTTATTAATATTATTATGAGTACTGTAGTTTAGTAGTAGTTGTTTTTATTATTATTTTATTTTATTACGTGTATTCATGGCAGTGTACTGTTATTATTATTTTATTTTACTATTATGAGTACTGTAGTTGTTATTATTATTATTATTTTTGAATGTTACTGACTCTCTCTCTCAACTGAGGCTTGAACTCACCATCTCTCATATGGGAATCCAACTCAGGTGTCATCTGTGCATAATGTACTTGGTAGTAGTTGTTATGATTTATTATTATTATTATTATTATTATTATTATTATTATGAGTACTGTAGTTTTCTAGTGGTTCTTTTTATTTTTATTTATTTTATTATGTGTATTCATGGTAGTGTTGTTATTATTTTACTAGTACTAGTATTTTCACCCGTGCGATGCACGTAATGGAATTGTTGTAATATATTAAGAATATTTAAATCGATATATAATTATTTAAGAGTTAATTTCACCAGAGGTCGCTTATCTCCTGAAAATTTCAAATTTAATCCTAGACAATAGTTATTAATTATTACGATTTATTCTATATCATAATTCTTACGTTAATATTCTTACTATTATTATTAACACTTAATTACTTTTAGATATTATTATTACCACTTATATTATTATTATTAGTTTCTTTTCAATTTCTGTTAGTATATAATGACCGTGAGGCACAATAATAATATAACAATAATTAAATATTCTTGTATTGTATTCCGTGAGTCACAATAATAATGTAACAATAATTAAATATTCTTTAATTCTATATTCTTCTAGAATTTCTATTACCATCATTAATTATTCCCTAATTTCCCATAATTAAATAATTTAACCAATTATAAAGAGAGATTATTAAATAATACACAGGACATTTTTTAATTAAAAAAATTTAAAAATTCATTAATAAAACATAAGATTCTGATAGTTTTTTTCTTAGAAAGTATTTAATAAAACATTTTTTTTTTTAGAAATTAGTGGGCCAAACCGCCTACGGCTGTTTGCGGTGGATAGATCTCAAAAAAATACGCGATTTCAAAAACACATTTGTCCAAAACGGACAACCGAGTCAAAAGTTATGCCTTGTCGAACTTTTGACACTTTACAACCTATAAAAAAATAATAATAAAAATTAATCGCCGGTTCAGCCAGCGAAGCAGCCGCGGAGGAGGCCGATTCTGGACTTCCTAGCCGTAGCCAGCGGCGCGATAAAAAAAATTATTATTTATTATTAGGGGGGTTTGAAAAATATTAACCCAAAATGTATATGTGTTGTTTTTGTTTTTAACCCAGAATTTTTGTACGAATAAGAAAGTAGAAATCAATATATTTTATTACGAAGAGAGATTTTTTATTGTTGCTGTGATAAAAGTTCCGTCCGGTCGCTAATAAGACTGATCCGTATGTAGCTTCGCCAGTCGTTGGCCTGAACCAGCGTCGATGTAGCAACAGACACCTATGTACTGCTTTGTAGTAGTGGGCTTCCGCCATAAGGGATGAAAAACAAACTGGCAACTTGCCATTTGTTACTGCGATAAAAGTTCCGTCCGCTGCTAATAAGACTGCTCCGTATGTAGCTTCGCCATTCGTTGGCCTGAAACCGGTGTCGATGTAGCAATGAGGGCGTGCATGTGACAGTGTGGGTGGTGTAGCCGTAAGATTCCAGCCGGGGGTTGTCGGATGGCTTTGGCCATAGGCATGCAGAGCTGCCACGGCATGTCGTCGAACGGTTGTTAGGTGTAGGAGCGAATGTTCCCATACCGCCGTATTTCGTGTCTTCCAAAGATGATATAGCACGGACAACACCAAACAAAACTACTCTACTGTCAACACACCCATAATCCATGAGGGAAAAGAATCCGTTACAACATTCATAATGGGTAAGCATGTAACATCCCATACAAGTCTAGAATAATTGCAAAGAATTAATGCATGCATAATATTCTCATGAGCCAATCCACACATGATGCATGTTGGTTCTACTTCTACCCTCTTTAAAATCAAATTATTCGTGGTAGGGAGGATATCACAAATTGCCCTCCAAAAAAAAGTTTTCCACTTGAACCCTTAACTTCCATATAGTTGCCCATTTATCAAAAACACCTGGGGCATATGCATAATCACCTACCAGCTTCCTGTAGGCATTCTTTACTGAATACACTCCCCTAGGGTCACCTAGCCAATACCATGAATCATTATAATCTGGGCTCACAGGGATCTTCAATATTCTATTCACATCTTCTGGGATAAATATATCTGATAGGATATGTGGATCCCATGTATTAGTTTGTTGATCAATCAGTCCAGCAACGGGTGCATCTCTTAGTTGTATAGGCATTTCTGTCTGAACCAAAGGGCTGGGGTCATCAGGTAACCAGGGATGTCCCCATATCAAAGTTGATTTTCCATTACCCACCCTTCGCCTTACACCAGACACAATAGTATCATGTGCTGCCATAATACTTCTCGAGCAATAACTAGGGCAATTTCCTATGGTTGCATCCACAAAAGATGTATTCGGATAATATCGTGCCTTATAAACTTTTGCAACCAAAGTGTTTGGATTAGTTAGGAACCTCCAGCCCTGTTTCCCTAACATTGCCAAATTAAATTTCCGCAGATCCTTAAACCCAGACCACCATAATTCTTGGAAACACACAACTTATCCCAAGCTTTCCAGTGGATTTTCCTGTCCGTTCTACTGCCCCACCAATATCTATTCATAGTTCTTTCAATAGACAAAATGACAGAGTCTGGCAAGAGGAAAATGCCCATTGTAAAAGTTGCCATTGCCTGTGCCACACTTTTTAACAAGACTTCTTTACCAGCCCGTGATAGCAGTTTTTTATTCCATGGCCCTATCCTTTGCCTGATCTTGTCCTCTACATAAGCAAAAGTTGCCCTCTTATTTCTTCCCACAAACGAAGGAAGAATCAGATATTTTCCAAAATTTGGGGCTTGGTCAACCTCCAGGCAATCCGCCACTGCCAACCTATCGGCCTCCTGTGTGTTTCTGCTAAAACAGATATTAGACTTTGAAAATTTACCTTTTGACCAGATAAGTTCTCATAACGTTTTAGGCATTGTTTAACCACCGTAGCCTCCTGCACATTTTCCTTGAAAAACAACAGACTATCATCTGCAAAAAACAGATGCGAGATTGGGGGTTCCCCCTAGCAACTCTGCATCCGTGTATAGAACCCATCCTCTGCGCCTTTTGTAGCAATAAAGATAGACCATCTGCACAAATAATAAATAAATATGGGGATAGAGGATCTCCCTGTCTGAGACCCTGAGTAGGTATTACTCGGCCACCCGTCACTCCATTCACAAGTATATTGTACTCAACGGTCGTCACACAGAGCATAATCAGTTTTGCCCATCGTTCATCAAAACCCATTACCACTAGCATTTTCTGTAAAAACTGCCACTCCATTCTGTCATAGGCCTTTACCATATCCAAGTTCAAAGCCCCCCAACCTATGGCCCCACATTACTTCCTATTCAAAAAATGACCAACCTTTGCAGCAACTAGGATATTATCTGTGATCAGCCTACCTGGGATAAAAGCACTCTGAGACTCTGAGATCAAGTCCCCCATGAGTGATTTCATCCTGTTAGTGATCATTTTAGCCATGATACGATAAAGCACATTCCCCAGGGCTATTGGTCTCAAATCAGCAATCGTTTCAGGCACAACTTTCTTCGGGATTAGCACAACATTTGTATCGTTTAACCCATCTGGAAAAGTGGCATTATTCAAATAATTCACTACAAACTGAGACACATCACCTCCAACTATATCCCAGAAGTGCTGATAGAACCCCGGATTCATTCCATCCGGCCCCGGTGCTTTGTCAGGGAACATAGAAAAAAGAGCAGTTTTGACCTCCTCAGGCACAAAAGGGCGCAATAACTCGTTATTTTGTTCAAGGGATACTCGAGGGGCAAAAACATCAAATAAAGGGTCCACACATTCAGAAACACCAGAATCGAAAATAGCTTTAAAATAATTTAAAACTACCCGATTCATAGCCTCACCCTCTACCCATACCCCTACATCATTCATAATCTTAGAGACACAATTCTTTTTCTTTCGGGCAGTGGCATACCTGTGATAAAACCGAGTGTTGGCATTATAATATTGAAATAGAATTTTAATCCAGAATTATAGTGCTAATTAGAAAGTAGAAAACCATATATTTTATTAGGAAGAGAGATTGTTTAGGAAATGGGCAGATAGTTAATGTTCAGGATTGTGTTTTCATATATAGTATAGATTGTATTAGACAATTTTATAATATTAGAATAGAATTTAACCGAGAATTATAGTGCGAATGAGAAAGTAGAAAACAATAAATTTTCTTAGGAAGAGAGATTTTTTAGGAATTGGGCGGAAAAGTTAAAGTTCATGATTTTGTTTTATATAAAGTATATATTGTATTACACAATTTTATAATATTAGAATAAAATTTTAACCCAGAATTATAGTGCTAATGACAAAGTAGAAAACAATATATATTTTTAGGAAAAGAGATTTTTTTAGGAATCGGGCGGGAAGTTAAAGTTCGGGATTTTTTTTTTTTTTTTTTTTTTTTTTTTTTTTTTTTTTATATAAAGTATAGATTGTATTACACAATTTTATAATATTAGAATAGAATTTTAACCTAGAATTATAGTGCGAATGAGAAAGTAGCAAACAATATATTTTATTAGGAAGATAGATTTTTTAGAAATTGTGTGGAAAGTTAAAGTTCAGGATTTTGTTTTTATATATAGTATAGATTATATTACACAATTTTATAATAATAGAATAGAATTTTAACCCAGAATTATAGTGTGAATGAGAAAGTAGATAACAATATATTTTATTAGGAAGAGAGATTTTTTAGGAATTGGGCGGGAAGTTAAATTTCAAGATTTTGTTTTTGTATATAGTATAGAATGTATTACACAATTTTATAATATTAAAATAGAATTTTAACCTAGAATTATAGTGGTAATGAGAAAGTTGAAAACAATATATTTTATTAGGAAGAGAGATTTTTTAGTAATTGGGCGGGAAGTTAATGTTCAGAATTTTGTTTTTATATATAGTATAGATTAGAATAGAATTTTAACCCAGAATTATAGTTTGAATGTGAAAGTAGAAAACAATATATTTTGTTAGGAAGAGAGATTTTTTAGGAATTGGGAGGGAAGTTAAAGTTCAGGTTTATATATATATATATATATATATATATATATATATATATATATATATATATATATATATAGTATAAATTGTATAACACAGTTTTATAATATTAGAATAGAATTTTAATCGAGAATTATAGTGCTAATGAGAAAGTAGAAAACCGTATATTTATTAGGAAGAGAGATTTTTTAGGTAATGGGCAAAAAGTTAAAGTACAGGATTTAGTTTTTATATATAGTATAGATTGTATTATACAATTTTATAATATTAGAATAGAATTTTTACCCAGAATTATAGTGCGAATGAGAAAGTAGAAAACAATATATTTTATTAGGAAGAGAGATTTTTTAGGAATTGGGTGGGAAGTTAAAATTCATGATTTTGTTTTATATATACTATAGATTGTATTGCACAATTTTATAATATTAGAATAAAATTTTAACCCAGAATTATAGTAGAAAACAATATATTTTATTAGGATGAGAGATTTTTTAGGAATTGGGCGTGAAGTTACAGTTCAGGATTTTGTTTTTTTGTATATAGTTTAAATTGTATTACACAATTTTATAATATTAGAATAGAATTTTAACCCAGAATTATAGTGCGAATGAGAAAGTAGAAAACAATATATTTTATTAGGAAGAGAGATTTTTTAGGAGTTGGGCGGGAAGTTAAAGTTCAGGATATTGTTTTTATATATAGTATAGATTTTATTACACAATTTTTTAATATTAGAATAGAATTTTAGCTCAGAATTATAGTGCGAATGTGAAAGTAGAAAACAATATATTTTATTAGGAAGAGAGATTTTTTAGGAATTGGGCGGGAAGTTAACGTTCATGATTTTGTTTTATATATAGTATAGATTGTTGATGAATGTCTAAAACTAATGCTTTTTCCTTGCACATTTTGGTATTTATACTGGTTAATCATTATATTATGGAGCCAATTTGGTAACTTATGGAATGATTGTTTGTGCTTAGGTGACTTGACAAGAAAATGATGTTTTGAGCCAAACATTGGGTTATTTGATCAAGATTTCAAGTCATCATAGCATGGGGATATTTTTGTGAGGCAAAATGAAGAAAAGAAGATTGAACAACACTCTTTCATATGCCAAATATTTGTGCCTTAGTGGTCTTGATGATATAGGCTATTCAATGGAAAGGCAAAGTAAAAGATAGTAAGGTGGCATTTCTCGCCCAGATTGCCTTGGTGGAACTTGTTAGAACGCAACTTGTGATTGATGAGTCAAGGTGTAACACATGATTGATCTATTCTCTTGTCAATGGTCTTGTTAACCACCTAATAATTGAATATATTCTTGATCTTGTGTGTTGTGCATTGCTAGTGAAGGCTTATGTGAGATTCCGGTAATGGTTGTTTTGCTAGAACTTGCCTCATTACTCTCCAAGTGAAATCTAAGATTTGCATATTTTGAAATGATTTAGGCCATTTTTGCTTAGCCCAAGCCTTTAAGCCTACCTTTTAAACATATCTTTACCCCTAGTTGTCCCCGTTGAGTCTTTTCTTTGTTTAATAAGTGCTAAGCACTTAATCTCCTTTGTGTTTGTTTTTCTTGTGTTAACCTTTGTCATTTAACCCTTAAACCTTAGCCAAAATGTTTCCCTCCACCCTTGAGATAATAAAGCACTTGTTCTTTTTCTTGGAAGTGATTCTTTTTTTTTTTTGGAGCTTGTTTTGTTAGCAACACTCTCTATAATGTTATCCAAGTGTGGGGGTCTTGATACTTTGAAAAAGTTTGTTTGTTGTTTTGAAAGAAAAATGATAAAAAAAAAAGTCATGAAAAAGGTGAAAAGGAAAATAAGAAATGAAAAAGAAGAAGTTGAATAAAAGTTTGATAGTTTGCTTTGAAAGTTATACTCAACCTTCACTACCTTAGAGTGTTGCTTTGTGTTTAGTTGTTAGCCGCTCCTTAGTTCTTTGATGCCTTATATCTTCCAATCTCAATTGTGAATAACTGTGAAGTTCTCTTTTGTTTGATTTTCTTACCCCTTCTTTGTCAACCATTCACCCTTAGCCTCATTACAAGCCTAATAAAAGTCCTACTTGATCTTAGCATGCAATCTTAGAGTTGAACTAGTGGGAGTATGAAGGGCAAACCTATAGAATCTCATTCAAAGCCAAGTTTTGCATAATCTCAACTTAGTATTTGTGCACACTTGATCCTCACGTTCTATAATAATTTTGGTGCTTGGTTATTGGCTTGAGAATGGAACTTGTGTAGAATGCTAAGATGATTCTTGAAACAAGTTGTGTTGTGTCGAGTTAGACTGTGGTTTGTTAATTTGTGCAAAGTGGGAGTATGATCAACTTCGGTGCTATATTGGTGATTTAGTTCTTGTTTTTGCTTGAGGACACGCAAAAGTCTAAGTGTGGGGGAGTTGATGAATGTCCAAAACTAATGCTTTTTCCTTGCACATTTTGGTATTTATACTAGTTAATCATTATATTATGGAGCCAATTTGGTAACTTATGGAATGATTGTTTGTGCTTAGGTGACTTGACAAGAAAATGATGTTTTGAGTCAAACATTGAGTTATTTGATCAAGATTTCAAGTCATCATAGCATGAGGATATTTTTGTGAGGCAAAATGAAGAAAAGAAGATTGAACAACACTCTTTCATATGCCAAATATTTGTGCCTTAGTGGTCTTGATGATATAGGCAATTCAATGGAAAGGCAAAGCAAAAGATAGTATGGTGGCATTTCTCGCCCAGATTGGCGTTGTCTCCGTAGTTTGACCATATCTCGGTCTAGAAGTGTCCAAATCAAGTGATTTTTATATCATTCAAAACTAACTTCAAGGGCTACAACTTTGATGAAGACAACAAATGCTAATTCAAAGTTTTTGGGGGTGAAAAATAGCCTAGAAGTCGAAGCTGGTGCACATTTCGTCCGTGGCAACCAGGCAGTGTACACTGCCTGGTAGCCACACCCGTGGCTACTGGGTAGTACACACTGCATTTCTGGCCACGGGTGAAGCCACGCCCGTGGCCAACCCTCTTCAACTTTTTGCAGCGCGTTTTGACCCCTTTTAAGAGGATTTTTCCACCCCAAAACACATCTTTCATTTTTATCTTTCATTTCCCTTTCATTTCTCTAGTTAGGGTTAGTTTAGAATAGCTTAAATTAGTGTAGATTTGTGATTCCTTTCCATTTCCAAGGTCAAGAACATTGCAAATCTTGGATTTCAAAGCTTCAATAGAGAAGTTTTCTTATTATCTCTTCTCTTTACTTTTCATCTATGCTTTCAATTACTCTTTCAATATTGTGTATCTATTTTTAGATTATGAGTAGCTAAGTGTTTTAGGACTTGGATTTGGTTTGATTTCTTGCTATTGCTGCCTATTTGAGTTGTATTGCATAAAGGGGATTATTTGGGTGTTCTATGGTTAGTTGTGTGAATTGGGTTTGTTGTGAAATTGTGTATAATTGTTGGATCCCAATTATTTGGGTGTTCTAGGGTTAGTTGTGTGAATTGGGTTTGTTGTGAAATTGTGTATAATTGTTGGATCCCAATTATATGCTTGATTTGGAGTGTGTTTGTTGCTACGAGAGTAGAGCTTGTACACTAGCCACACATTCACACACATAATGCTCAATACGAAAGTATTTTGGGTATTAAGGAGAATTTATGGCTTGTGTTCTTGCTTGGGAAACATTGGGTTGAATTGCCACGAGAGTGGAGTTTAAGGTGAGGTTGCAAGTCCAAATAGCTACGAGAGTGGTATTTTGACACTTTTGTGCATCTCACTTGCCCTATGCCTTGTTTTAATTCCCTAATCCTTAGTACAATATTTGGCATCTTAGCTTGAATCAACCAAATCCCGGTCCTTTATTTTACTTGTCCTATTTGTTATTAGCTTTTTCGTATCAAACCATCTCATTATTGATAGGTCTAGCTTCTAAAAGAATTGTTCTAGCTTGTGCTTAACTCCACTTTGCATCAATTCATAACATTACAAGAGCCATCTCCAGTGGAACGATATCTAAACTCTATACTGTGATTTGATACTTGATGGATGCGTGAAAAACGTCCTCATCAAATTTGGCGCCGTTACCGGAGATGACTTGGTTTTGATTGTTTTGTGGTAGTTAACATTAGTGAATGACTATTCTAGGAGACTAGATTTTTTTTTTTGTTTTGTTTTTATTTTACTTTTATTACCTTTTGCTCTAGTTTTCTTTGCTTGAAGGGACATCTTTGAACTTTTATGCACATAAGATCCAAAGGAGTTGGAGGCTTGCAACCACTTGACTTAGAAATTGAGAGAGGTGTCAAGCAAAGGAGAAGAGAGCATCGTGCCATTCTTCAACAACAAAGAGTAGCCATGGAGAGCACAAGCCAAGGTGTGACTCGTGATACTCCGGAACAAGAAGGTGAACACCATGTTCCAAATCCTCAAAATGATCCTAAGAGGTTTCCGGTTCAAAATGACTATCAACAAGTCCCTATTGAAGAACATGCTCAAATTCCTCCTCAAGTACCTAGTCCTCGACATCAAGGGATGCCTCAACAAGGCTTTCAACCTCATGAAATTCCACCTCTTGGAGATGCACCACAAGGGAATCATCCTCATGCTCAACCGCCACACCATTATCCATATCCACCTCCTCCTCCTTATCACTATATACTATTATCCACCGGGACCACCACCACAACCTCAAGTGCCCCGAGCTCCAATACCACAACCTAGAGGTCCCCAACAAAGGAGGAGATTGATTGATTATGTTGCGGGGGACATTGATGAGGAGGATAGTATATACTACCCGGGAGTGGAAGCGAACAATTTTGAAATAAAGTCCGCAATGATTTCCTTGATTTCTAATAATCAATTTGGAGGCTCAAAGAGTGAAGATCCTACAAGTCACATGAGGCAATTTTTAAGGGTTTGCAAGACCTTAAAGATTAATGGAGTTTCAGTTGATGTCATCCGATTGAGGTTGTTCCCATTCTCACTTAGAGATGATGCACAAGCTAGTGTGGCTTGATTTTCATCCTGCCAATCATTTCCAAACTTGGGATCAACTTCATCATGAGTTTATGAGAGAGTTTTATCCACCATCAAAAGCTTTAAGGTTGAAGAAACAAATCCAACAGTTTAGACAAATGCCTTCTGAGTCCTTGTATGAAGCATGGAAGAGATACAAAGATCTACAAAGATAATGCCCTCATCATAATATGTCTACTGGGGATTTAATTGTTTCGTTCTATGAGGGTCTTTCTGATAACTCCAAGGTTATTGTGGATTCTTCTTCAAATGGTGCTTTCTAGGAATTGGGCGGGAAGTTAAAGTTCATGATTTTGTTTTGATATATAGTATATATTGTATTACACAGTTTATAATATTTGAATAGAATTTTAACCCAGAATTATAGTGCTAATGAGAATGTAGAAAACATTTTATTTTATTAGGATGAGAGATTTTTTAGGAATTGGGTCGGAAGTTAAAGTTCAGGATTTTGTTTTTATATATAGTATAGATTGTATTACACAATTTTATAATATTAGAATAAAATTTTTACTCAGAATTATAGTGCTAATGAGAAAGTAGAAAACAATATGTTTTATTAGGAAGAGAGATTTTTTAGGAATTGGGCGTGAAGTTAAAGTTCAGGATTTTGTTTTTATATATAGTATAGATAGTATAAATTTTACTATTATTATTATTATTATTATTATTATTATTATTATTATTATTATTTAATGTTAAAGGTACAGTTATAATATGAAATAATATATTATTATTTATTAAGAGTTATGGATGCGAGACCATTTCACCCCCGGACCTGCTCCCGTCTATGTTAGAATTCCAACCAAGGCATGAATGCACATATATTTGGAACGACCCAAATTATAATGTCAAACTTAATGTATTTAGATATGACGGTAAAATGTATATTGATGAACTTCGAGAGCCCCGAATGATTGCGTATTTAAGGGTTGTAGGGTTTTACAGTGTTGCTTATTTAGGTGGTCGTATTAATCTCGATAGCAGCCTCATTACAGCACTTGTAGAGAGGAGCATGCCTTTCATTTTCCTTTGGTGAGGTTTCATTTTCCATTTGGTGAGGGTTTAACACATTTTTGTTCACGTTTTGAGAAAAATAACTTCAATGGGCAATATAATATGCGTTTTATTATTTAAATTGTTAATGACTGTTAACACATTTTTGTTCACGTTTATGCGTTTTAAATAGATTAGAGCGGCCATGCAATGAAAGAAATTAAGTTGAAGCTTCAAATAAACCCATACTGATACTATAATGGCCCTGAAAGTTGAAGTTTATCAGAAAGAGAAAGTGAGGCCATCCTCGCCAACTCCCAAAACCTTAAGATCCCACAAGCTTTGTCTCCTTGATATGATGGTCGGAAATTTTTATCACCCGTTTGTTTTCTTCTACAACTCCGGCGCCGGGCCTGGTCGCCACGATTACGATGAGCTCAAGGAATCGCTCTCCAAGACATTGTCCGTCTTGTACCCCCTGGCCGGAAGAATTAAAGATCGATCAACGATCGACTGTAACGATGAGGGTGCGGATTTCGTCCGAGCGAATGTTACAAATACTGATTTGGCCGAGTTTCTCCGGCGGCACCCGAAGCTGGAACATCTACGGCAGCTACTTCCACTTGATCCGTACCCTAACGCAATTGATCCGGCCCAGCCAATGTTAGCTGTCCAGGTGAACAGGTTCCGGTGCGGCGGAACTGCGGTGGGGTTCTGCACTTGGCACGGGGTGGCGGATGCCGGTGGGATGACCGGAATGCTTAACACCTTGGCTGCAATCAACCGGGGGGAAGAACCCACTAATTCCGGCGGCGGTCTCGTCGTGGACGCCACCGCAATTTTCCCGCCGGGGAACTTCGCCATCTTCCTGCAGTCAATGTCCAATAATGCCGCCGTCGCGCCGCCAAAGAGAAAACACTACACCTCCAAAAGATTTGTTTTTAGCAAGCAGGATATCGAGCGGCTGAGGAGGAACCAGTCCGACCACTCGGATATGAAGCACCACCGTCGTCCATCTCGAGTGGAGGCGCTGTCGGCCTTCTTATGGGCGGCGGTAATAAGAGCAACTCTACTAGCGAACCCAAGCCTCAAGGCGCACTTGCTCACACATGTGGTGAACTTGCGGAAGAAGTTGAACCCGCCCTTACCTTCGCACTGCCTAGGCAACATCAACCAAGTGACCCGCGCCGGGTGGAAGGTAGTCGCCGGCGCCGGCGCCGGCCAACGGGTTACTGCGGAGTCGCTTGTAGGAAGAGTGGTGGAAGCCATCGACAAGGTTACAAACGAGTACGTGAGGGAAATGCACGTGGAGGGTGGGTATCTCAGAGCCATATTAGCCCATTCAAAGGAATATGACAATAAAGATGAGACTAAAATGTTACGCATAACTAGTGTGTGTAAATTTCCCTTTGGTGAAGTTGATTTTGGGTGGGGCAAGCCAATACGTATTGGCATGGGTCATAAACTGGAGGACTTGGCTCTTTTCTGGGATACTGAAGATGGAGGAATAGAAGTGTCGGTTGGATTGGAAGATGAAGTTATGTGGAATTTAGATAAGGATATGGAATTTCATGCATATGTGTCGTTTGCCCAAATCGTTTCAGAATCGTCTTGTCCTCAACGATCTGCACTCTAAGCTAGGCCGGCAGGGATTTAGATCAAGGTAAGGAAGGCCGGGGAAAGGAATTGAAGTCCAAGACATATATGATCACTTGTCAACTTTTATTAAGTTTCCTTCACATCTCCTTTAAATAACAAAAATCCATAATCAATGTCATTTAGAACATCATTTCTTCTTATCAAATAATATAATGAACTTGATTAGATATTTTTACAATATGTATTCATTTAATTATTAGTTAATAACCAAAATGGTCCATCGACTATAGCGAAATAATCAATTTGGTCATGGACTATCATTTTTACATATCACATTTAATCACAAAAAGAAATTAATGTTTCAGAGTGTTATTGTAGTGAGAGATTAAGATAATTAGCTAGTTTTGACTAAATAATCTAACAAAGGTCACAATTACAAAATCATGTTCGACCGGTAGCAGCCTGTATCCACGACGAAGAGACTACCAAGGCATCGTGTTAAGCAAACACCAAACCATAAAGCACATGTCACATGATATTGCAAAGATCATGAAGTTAATTGGTCCGTCAATTAGAGTGCTTGCAGGATAAAATGATTGTTAAAGAGAGCTCAATTTTGTTGGGTGTCCTAAAAAGAGATCAGAGGAACCCCTTATCCGACAGCCAAGCGGTGACAATGGATTATCTAGCATAAGTGAGGCACATACTAGAGGCTGCAGTGAAAAGAAGAGACCTTCTGTCAGTAGTGACAGTGATTATAATTTTGATGGCATTGATGATGTCCATGGCTCTGTTTCATCAAGAGATGAGAGGGAAACCAGCTATTGGATGTTCATCCGTCAACTGTTGTTTCATCAAGGGGTGGAAGCCGACGATGGAGGCTGGTGATTGTCGTTGCTCCAGTCGCGATGATGCTTCTGTCGATAGATGTTCATCCTTTGGTCTAGCGACAATGTTAATTTCTCGAAGAACAAAGGTGTGCGTGCGTGTTGGCGTAGGCTCCAGCCAGATGCGATGGATGGAATTTTGACGCTGGACTAAATTGAGTAAGGTTTTCATAGTTGAGAACTTAATTAGGCAAGAATAATAGTTGAGGACCAAATTAGTAATTTCAATATAATCAAGAGACTATTTTGATTATTAACTCTTTAATTATTTTACACCAATATAGATTTGTTGTGTTGAAACTTGTTATGTTTTTTAAAGTACAGCCAAATGATCGAGTTTTGTAAGTATAGGTAAAGGGGTTTATATTTGAGGGAACAAGACTAGTCACAAGGCCAACCACATTGTGTTCAGATGGCATGTAGTGACATTTACCATGCATGTAGGAGATCATGAGATTGAGCCTCAATGAATGCGTATATTATAATGTAATAGAGTCAATAGCATTTAAAAAAAAAAAAAGAAGACTAGTCACAAGATAAAAGAAACAAATGAAAGCTAAACAATGACACACACACATACATATATATAATATGACATATATACACCCGTAGACTAGCTTGATACTTTGAATCTTTGGATGATTGAAGTATTCTACCATCCTTTTTTAAATGAATTTGCTTGCTAAAGTAAGGTAGTACAAGTTCAATCTTGAAAATTAGAGGAATAAACAATGACACACACACATACATATATATAATATGACATATATACACCCGTAGACTAGCTTGATACTTTGAATCTTTGGATGATTGAAGTATTCTACAATCCTTTTTTAAATGAATTTGCAATAAAATGCTTGCTAAAGTAAGGTACTACAAGTTCAATCTTGAAAATGTTTTCTTTAGTCTAGAGTTCGAATCCTCTCTCACAAGATTTAAAATAACATATCTATCTAACTCTATAATAAAGCAAGAACTGCTTACAATTTTCATTTTTCGAATGCGGCTAACTAAGGCTGTTTCTTTTCGAATGCGGCTAATTAAGGCGACCTTTAATAATATTTGAGTAATTAAATGTTCGTAGGCCTTTAATAATATCTGAGTAACTAAATGTTCTTCCAAAGGAAGAACTCCAACCCTAAGACCCCCCACACTCCGGGTGACTCTGAACATGAACCAAGGAATCTCGACCTTTAATAATATTATGATGTTCGCCCCCCACACCCCGTGTAACTCAACTGACATGAACCATAGAGGTTAGACTGGTGCTCACTGTGCACAAGAAGTCCCCCTCACTTTGAGAGGTTGCTCCCACACTGCCGCTGGTGAGACTCGATCCCTGGTCATTCTTCCAAAGTTTCACCTCTATGACCAGTTGAGCTACGGGCCCTCTAACATAGCAAACAAAGCTTAACCAACTAAACAACACCAACCCTTAAAATGTTTTATGACCTTTCCAAACCACAATATAATTCAAAATACGGGTGGTAAATGAACAAGCAGTATATATATATATATATATATATATATATAGCTGCTCTATAATAAATAAATAAAATAAATATAAATATAATCTAATCTAATCAATCAAACTCTATACGAGTTCACGTAATTAACATTATATATTACAAATTCAAAATGATCTAAATAAAAAAAAAAAGAGGATTTTAAATTAAAACAACATAATAATTATTCTCATTGTTCCAATGAAGGACTCTTCGTTTCTCTAGGATAAGTCCTGATCCAATTATACCTCTATATAAAGAGGTAGATTGAGATCAACTATTTCAACCTCAACTTCTTTAAAATATAGGTAATATTTTGCAAAAAATAAAAAAATAAAAAAAAAATAGTTAGGTTATTGGGAACCTATGAAGTAGCAGAAGTGCGGGGAGGAGATATCATGAAATGTAAAGAATGTATATTTCTCGATGAAGAGGTAAAAATCAGTTCTAAATTTGTTTACACTCTATTTAATCATATATATATATATATATATATATATATATATATATATATATATATATAGTGTCTCTTTCAACAAATATTAGTTTCATTCACTATAGGGAACCTATATATATACATGCCAATAGTTAAAGGAAGAAGTTTGTTTAATTTCTGTTACTCTATGTGACACCCCAAAAATCCACATTCAATCCATGGATTAATTAAGTAATTGATCCTATTTTATTTGAGGAACTAATTCCTAAAATCCTGATTTTTAATACTCAAGGACTAGTATTTGACTAGTCAACCTTAAAGTTGTGTTGTACCTTGAGCTTTGATGGGAGTTCCCTTGTTCCTTACACTTTCTAAAGGTTAGTAAGGGTATTCTTGTCCTTTCACCAAGAGTTAGTATTGTAACCTAACATAGAAGACTTCTTCATTTCATTCCTTACAATTCTTAGAAATTAGCTCTACCTTCTCTCTAGAAAAGAAGTGTAGCTTATTCTTCAAGCCAAGTTAAGACCCTTGTCAAGATTTCAAGTTTTGTTTCCAAGATTCAACCTTTCATCTATTTGGGCATCTAGGAGGGTAAGATCTAAGTTTATCTTGTCTTTTTGGTTCCATCTTAGTTGTCTTTTTCTCAAAGGTAGGATCTTTATGATCTTTTGGTTTGATATTGAAGTGGGTTTGGAAAGTAAGCCTTGTGGGGAGCTAGTTGTGGTGTAAAGTGAAGTCTTTTGGTCTACAAGAGGTAACCCATGCTCTACAAAACCTATTTTGCTTACCTATATGTGATTTCTTGGATTCTACTTGTGCTTTGCTATGATATCTGAGGGTTTATGCATTTGTCTTGTGATATTGCATATCTAGAGCTGGTGTTTAGGGTTCCTTTGTGCCATTGCTTGGCATTTTCCATGGTTCAAGTCATTTTGTTGTATTGGGTGAGATTTGACATGTTTTGGACTTGAATTTGTGTTTGGAGAAGAAAATCCCCGAAGAGATTTGTTGTGGAACAGGAATGTTCCCGCAGGCGGAACGGCGGGCGGGGCACCACCCGCCGGCCTACCCGCGGGTACACGGCCCTGTGGGAATATGTTCCCGTGGGCGGAACCACTGGTGGGGCACTACCCGTGGGTCCACCCGCGGGTACATGATGGTGTTTGCTCGGGATTTGTTCCCCGTGATCCGTTTAACTCGGTATTTGGTCTTTTGACTTCCCGTTGTTCTTTTGTGGAACTATTTGAGCGTCTTCTTGATGTTTCGTATATCTAGAACTATATGGTAGTTATCCATGTAGGACTTTGGTGTCTTGAATCATGCTAAGTGTTCAACATTGTGACCCGTTCCTTGATTGAGTATGTTTCATGCCTTCGTTGTAATCCGTTGTTTGACTCGTGTGAGTGGTGGTGCGTGTATGGCTTTACCTGGATTGCACGATTAGTGGTATGGGACACTAGTCACCAAGGTATTGCAGCGGTCCTCGTGGTGGCCGTGATGTGATTATGGAGCTGTGGCCTTCGTGTAAGGTTCACGTGATTGGGGGATAACATGTGTTATCCGGGCATGTGTTGCCGTGTACGGTACCTTGTGTACTATGAATTGGTGGTCTTGTTGGTGGTTTGTTGGCGGGGGACGACGGTCCCGGGGGAATAAGGTTGGACTAAGAAGTACAGGGGTCCTGGAGGTAATGGTTGGCATGAAGGTACAAGGTCGGGGGTAGCCATAAGGTTGGAACATGGCATAAGGAAGGCATATCAACTCGTGATGGGTGATGTCATGAGGGCTCGTGTAGCCGTTGTTGTGAATTCTCTTTCTTGTGACGTGTGTAGTCACAAGGGCATGTGTTGCCATCGGTCTTGTCTTATTCCTTTGTGTTGTGGTTAACCTTTGCGGTTTGGGATGTGTTCCCGTGTTATCTTTGTGAGTGATGAGTCTTGTGTTGACTGTTGATCTTGGCTTTTGACTTATATACTTATGTATTCCGTTTCGAAAATGGTTTTACAACTTATATCTATCTATGTATGATACTTAACGGTATTGGTGGGTTACCAGAATTATCGCTGATCGGGCGTCGTCCCAATGTTTATCTTTGTATCTTTCATGTGATGTTTAGACGAGCGCGATGTCTAGTGCCTGGTAGCTTAGCACCTTTATCCCTGTTTTGTGGCCTGTGTGCCAATGTAGTTGTAGACTGATGTTGTTGGGATAGATGTTTACACTTGCAGATTGTTTGCCATAGCGTTTACCGTGTTTGGTAGACGTGGCATGACACCCCGTTGGATTTCTTTTATCCAGTTCTCGTTTTATCTTCCGCTGTGCTAGTTTTGTTGTCTAATCTGCAGGTGTTAAGGCTTTTTATCTAGCTTGTTTGGGGGGGGGGGGGGTGTTACACTCT